ACACTGACTGTATATAAAGATGATCACTGACTGTATATAAATCACTGACTGTATATAAAGATCATCACTGACTGTATATAAAGGTCCTCAGGAATGAAGCTCTTCATGCTCATCACAGGGTCACAGCGCCTCCCGCAGGGTGGAAGACGTTAGTGCATCACAAGGACAAAGGGACTGTTTAACAGAGAGCTCCAGCAGGGGGCGCCATGCTGCAGTTCTGAAGGTTCAGTCAGGGACACAGAGACAGAGACACAAAATAACTCACAACAGGAAGTAAAGGACTTCTGTCTCCTCAGTGTTACCATGGAAACTGACTCAGATAATTGTGTTCTCACATACAGAACCTTCAGAACATGTCAGGAACACGTCTGCAACATGTCTGGAACACATCAGGAACACGTCAGGAACACGTCAGGAACATGTCTGGAACATGTCAGGACTTGATTAATTTATGATCAGATGATTAATTGGCAGCAGCTTCATGGTTGTTTCAGTGACTGAGGAGACATTTTATTTAAAGGTGTTTTAATCTGTAGGTTGAACAGGTTGTCTCCCTCTCTCTCTCTGTCTCCCTCTGTCTCTCTCTCTCTCTCTCCCTCTCTCTCTCTCTCACTTCATTTGTGACTCATCATATTAGAAGTTCATCCTCTTCAGCAGGGGGGGGGGGGGGTCATGTGAACATATAGTTCCATTAACTGTAGAATCTCCTTCAGCACTAAGTTCATGTGTCACACTGTCCTCTGCTCCCCGGTGACTGGACCCGAGGACAGGGCGTCTTTAAACTGGGGGAACCGGGACAGGACACGGTGGAGCTCCGGGGAGCAGAAGCAGCACCATGGAGTGAATGACCTGGTCACCTGTGGAGGAGACGCTGCAGGACCTCCTCCTCCTCCATCCTCCTCCTCCATCCTCCTCTTCATCATCACACCTTCACGGTCCACACACTTCCTCCAGCAGCAAACCCACAACACCCAGCGGGTAGAGGGAGCGAGCAGCGGGGCTCGACATCACCATGAAGGGGCAGGAACCGTCCTCCTGGAGCCGAGCAGCCGAGCAGCGGAGCGGCTTCTCCTGCTGAGCGGGAGACAGGAGGAGGAGCAGCGGATGGACGCCAGCCTTGGATCAGACACCAGCAACAACAACCCTCCTCCGACTGGGAGCAGCTCCGAGTTTAATCATTATTATGGAAGAGGAGGGTCTTGTTCTGATCAACATGGCGGACAACAAAGCCCAGGGACTGGGGTGACAGCGGCGCTCTCGGTACACGGCACCATGGACCAGGTTCACAACTCCCGCGAAGGCTACAACAACAGCCCGTACAACCACTACCCGAACTACCGACCCGGCAACGGGACCAGTGGATACGGAGGCTTGATGAGTCCCTCCCGCCAGGGAAACAACCTGACGGGCCCGGGCAGCGGCAGCTCAGCCGCGGCTATCCACAGCAAAGCGGCTATGGCAGCTACCAGCTCCCCGGCTGGAGGCGGCGGCAGCGGAGGATTCCAGCGGTTTCAGGGGCTGCACCCGTCCGGGGCCACGCCGACTTTGAACCAGTTATTAACGTCTCCGAGCCCGATGATGCGGGGATACGGAGGAGGATACACCGACTACAACAGCCCGTCCGCTCCACAGCAGCCCGGCATGGGACCGGCTAAAGACCTGGGCTCCATGTTCGGCTCCGCGGCTCGCGGCTGGGGGGGACATCAGAGAAGCCACCCGGTCATGAGCCCCGGCAACAACGGGCAGGGCGGCGGCAGGTCCCCGGTGAGTAACCCCGGATCAACCCCTGGTTGTCATAACTCACCTGGATCACCAGCTAACCTGCTAGTTAGCCGCTATGCTAACCCTAATGGCTAGCGGCGGTGAGCAGCGGAGCTCGGTGTGTTTTTATTTCCACTGCGGTTAGAAATCATTTCTAAAGTCGGACTCCTCTCTGACGGAGATATTAAATAAAACGTGCCTCGTTAATTAAACCATCAAACCAGTCAACACTGAGTAAAGTCAGGCTTCTGCTTCCGTGTCCAAGGTGACTCTGGAGTTAGCCTGCTATGCTAAGCTAACTATTAGCATCGTGGTCTGCTAACCAAGCCGCCCAGGCCCGCAGAGGCTGTGTGAGTGTGCTGACGCCGCAGAGGGAAGGCGCCGTGCCGGGGAACATTCCACTGTTGTACCGGGGCATTATGTCCGGGGACACTGAGATGGTGACGGCTCCATTCTCCCCTGACGTCTCTCACATGTTAACCACCCGGGTGAGGTGTCAGTCAGCGGGGTGAGCCGCTGCTCAGGCCGCCCCTCTCGGCTGCTGACCCGGCCTCAGCTCCAGCCCTGACCTTCACACATGCAGATTAGCCACGTGCCCATCACCACCGCTCACAACACCCGCTCCTCCAGCTGCAGCCGCCGCAAATCACACAGCAGCTCCGGCCACTGCTGCTTCATGTCGGGGTCAGTTCATCCACAGCCTCTAGTTCTTCTTCTTCTTCTTCTTAATATTATAATCTGCTAATAATCACGAGTCATTAGTTTTTTATACAACATGAGATCAACAAATCAGAGGCTCAGATGAGACTCAACTGAAAGTTCACTGTCATTTTTACACATGATGAAATATCTGCACTCAGAAACACTCAGTGTGATTTTATCTCAGTTATCCAGAGCTGATAAAAGCTGTTATTGACATCTGAAGCTGTTTTCAGACATGAACTGAACCACAGACGTGTTCCTGACGTGTTCCTCACATGTTCTGTGTGTGAGAACAAATGTCTGAGTCAGTGTCTCTGGACATTTCTGGATCTTCTCCTGCAGCCTCTAGTAAAACATCTGTAAAATGTGGGTCCATGTCAGATCTACCGCAGTGTAAAAACTGGATTAATGATCAGGTCTTTTCCTCCTCACTACATCCAGCTGCTCCACCTGCTCCTCATGTTTATTTACTCTCATTAGATGAGTGGTGGAGACGTGTCATCCACAGATAGATTCATTGTGTGTGTGTAAATGCTTTCTATTTTTAGCTGCAGCTGTGAAACATCTGTTCTCACTGAGTCACTTGTGTCACCTACTATTGTGTCAGTGTGTCAGATACCGTGTTTGTGAGTGTGACTCCAGTTTGGATCGCGGCTCCGACTCTCAGCTGTGTTTTTCAAATAACGATAAAATTGGAACAGTAAAATCCCACAGACATAAAAACACTATGGATTTAATCATGTTACGATGTGATATCGTACGATTTAGTTTTCAATAAAAGACGTGAAAGAAGAATGATTTAATGTTGGCAGATATGAGCCTGATGTCATCATAACTCCTCTCACGCCTGTTGTCGAACATCAGCGACAGAATCATCAACATTTCTGTTGTGCAGGTGCCGCCCATGGACCCCATGGTGATGAAGCGTTCTCAGCTCTATGGTGTGAGCAACAACCCGTACTCCCAGCAGCAACAGCAGCAGGGGGCGCCATACCCGGGTATACCCTATAGCACCCCCACCCCCCACAGATACCAGATGGGGATGCCCAGCAGGGGGCAGATGGGGAAGGGAGGGATGCAGTACCCTCAGCAACAGGTAGGAGAAGTGTTTTAGTGACGGTGTTAATCTGCATCTTCTTCATCACTTTATTCTCCATCTGACAACAAACTGCTGGCACCTCCTAACTAAACAAGGATTTCTCCTCTCACTGTGAACTCCTCTGATGGAGTTGAGGCGGCGTTGGTGGAAATAAGGCTGTTACGTCAGTTCCCTCTTCTCAACCAACGTTTCAGTTTAGTGGCTCACACACACAAATGACATGACTCGTGAGATGCAGGACACCATGGTTAGATATCGTAATTTTTACCATTCTTACGTTTATGGTAAAATCAGGTAGTCCCGACATCCCTAGTTGAGTGCGAACAGAAACCTGTTGGATCACACGGGTGCTGCAGTGTGTGAGCCACAGAAACATTAGTTGAGAAGAGGGAACCGACTTAACGAGCTTATTTTCACCAACGCTGAACAAACAACTTCATCAGAGGAGTTCACAGCGAGAGGAGAAAACTTCACACTGAACCTGTAACTTCACGTAATAATGATTTTGATGGAGACACATGTTTTGGCTCCACCCCTCACCTGGATGTTCCCCACATGTTCCTGTTGTGAACGAGTCTGAACCGGACAATCTGCTGCTGCGTTCCACTTTCTGTTTCCTCTGGTTTTTGAAGAGAGGGTGGTCTGTGTTGTCTGTCTGTCGTCGTGGTGATGCGTCTGTTGTTTGTTCTCAGATGAGCTCTCAGTACGATCCGCAGCAGCAGAACGTGGGCGGTTACTGTCAGCCGGGTCAGCCTCCGTACTTCAGCCCCCCACAGCAGCAGCCCGCCGCCCCCAGCCAGCCCCCATACATGCAGCCCCGCCCACTGCCACAACAGGTACGACCCTTTCCACTAAACTGTCGGTTTGCTGCTGATTCTCTCATTCTCAACAAATCCATGAACTTCTTGCAGGTATTTCACATTAAAAGCCTTGAAGAAACAGGAAGTGATAATCTCTTTCAATCGCCTGATTCAACATCGCATCATTTAACAAAACCTGATCATAAATCTGTTAAACTTTGTTCATCTGTCTTATCCTGATGCAGGAGGCGCCGCAGGAGGCGTTTGGGGGCCGCAGCCAGTCTGCTGCTATGACTCCTGGGAAACCAAACCTCGAGGAGATGAGTCTGAGCCAACAGGAGAGACCGTCCAGTCTCCCGGTGAGTCGGAACACGACGGCACATCTTTCGACGAGAGAGGACGCAGTCAGAGATAAAACTGTTTTTTAAAAATCAACAAAAATAGTTGTTCATCGAGATGTATTGTTGCAGTTTGCTGTTAGCAGTTAGCATAAAGTTAAACTGTCTGACATGAGGATCAGTTAACAGCGTCTCTAACTTTCTCCCTGGTTCATTTGGTGATGCTAATAGGCGAACAAGCGAGCTCCCAGTCTAACCAGTGACTGTTCAATAAGTATAAATAATTTATTAAATATTGATTCAGAAATCAGTGAAAAAAATGTAAGTGAAAAGATTATTTTAAAATTATGATTAAAGATGTAAACCTGCAGCCTGGTCTTGAGCTGCTGATAGTAATAAGGAAAGGAAAGGCTTTTATTTTGAAGTCCCTGAAAACCTGTTTGAATTAATGCTGCTCTTTCTATCATCCATCAGCCTGCTGCTCTTTCTCTCCCTGCTTCTCCTTTCATTTCTCCTCTTTTCCATCCCTCCCCCTCCTCCTTTCTCCCTCCGTCACTCCACATTGAGCTTTACTCCTTCTCCCCTTCCTCCCTTTTCTGTCCTGTTATCATGCTGCCATGCTCTTTCTCTCTCGTTCTTTTTCTCAGCTTCCTTTTTGAAGTCAGGGTGCTGATGCAGTTTCCATGGCAATAGGCAGAGGGGAGGCGGGCTCTTGGCAGGATGGAAAATCTAAAATAAAAGTCAGCAGAAACCTGCTTTAATGACTTCACCTCAGAATCTACATCATAGTAATAGTCACAATGATAATGAAAACCAAAAGTTTTATTTCAGAACTTGAACCAGAATTAAAACAATCAAATCAGTTAGAATTTGAGTTTAAAAGTTTAAAGCAGCTGAATGGACTGTGATCAGCTGTGAACTCAGACACGGCACATCAAGATTCTACATCTGCAGCTGGAACAAGCGTCTGCGTCGTGTTGTGACCCTGAAACAGTTTGTTTTTCTCTGGAGGAAAAGGAGGAGAATAGTAGGTAGAAGAGGGAAAAGACGACAAGGGGGGGTGTAATAAGAGGAAACAGGAGGAGGTGAATGAGGGAGAGAAGAGGAGTAGAAAGGAGATGAGGACGAAGGAACGGTGGGGAGAAAGAAGAGGATGATAGAAGAAAAAGAGCGGGAGGTAGAGGGAGTGAAGGAGGAATTAAATTAGGAGAAGAAGAAGAAGTATAGAGGAGGAGAAGGTCGAGCGAGGCTGCAGAGAAACTCTCTCTCTCCCTGCAGCTCAGTCTTTATAATTAGACTGGGGGGGGCAGCGCTGCAGCTGATTGGCTGAGCTGTTGGCAAGGGGAGGAGGGAGGGAGGGCGGATGTGTTGCTGCACTGTGATTGGCTGGTACCAAGCCCAGGGGCTGATGGGAAATTTCAGTGCAGCGTTTCTCCTCTTTTTTCTCTGAGTCTTTTTCTTTCCTCCTGTCCTCCTCCACTCATCCTCTGTTTCCTCTCCTTCCTGTTTCCTCATTCCTTTCTTCCTCACTCTGCTCACTTCTTCTTCTTGTCTCCTCTTTGTCCTTACTCCTCATCCTCATGTTGCCTTCTCTCTCTCATGTTTTCCCTTCGTTCGCCTCCATGAGTTAATTATCTCTGAATCCAGACACCAGTTTTTCTGTCTGAGTGAGACCTCGTCTTATGTGGTTCTTGACATTGGAGAGGGAATCGAACCGTATAATGACTTTGACCACATTACAGCTGAACACCTGAGAAGAGAGGATGTGTTCAGGGACCACGTTTATCAGGTGGAAATGTTGTCGGTCCACATTTTAATTGTTTTCACCCGAGTGTGAAAATGTCCAGAGACACTGACTCAGACATTTGTTCTCACATACAGAACCTCCAGAACACGTCAGGAACATGTCAGGAACACATCAGGAACATGTCAGGAACACGTCAGGAACACGTCAGGAACA